TATTTTGTGAACTTTACTTTTATTATTAAACCATATTATATATACTTATATTTCGTTTTTAAATAGTTTTGTAAATTTTATAAATGTTTCCTTTTTATTTTATATTGTTATTTGAAAATTTTATAAATGTTTCGTTTTTAATATTTAATTGTATTTTTAATTTATTAGGGGTATCATAGTAATCAACCAACGTGATAGTTAACGTGAGCGCGACAACTAAGAAAGTGACTTCTCAAATAATATTATAAAGATATGGAAAATATATTTTATGTTATTTAAAAATATATATTATTGGGGGTATTACTCTTTTGTGAACTTTCCTTATTAATAAAGTCATATTATATACATATATTTTCGTTTTTAAATTGTTTTAAAATTTTTTGAAATATTTCCTTTTTATTATATATATTATTTGGAAAAACGTAAAAAAGAAACTAAATTAAAAAAAAATCTTAAAATATAACAATAAGGTATCTATGTAATCAACCATCGCGAGAATTAACGTGAGCGCGACACGTAGGAAACTGACTTCTCAAATAATATTATAGAGATTTTATTATATTGTATATTTATGTATTCTAATTTTATTACGATTATGTGGATGCTCCATTCAAAAGGCTCTTTTTATTAGCATAGACTGTAAGTTGTTACTATTCCCTAAATACAATATTTATAAATTATGGCTTTTAGTAGAAGAAAGAACTTTATTGAAGTGTGGATGTGAGGCTAATTACTTTAATTAAAATCAATATGTGTATTTTGTTCTGTCTCCCTAAAAAGAACAAGCAATATAACTAAATTGGGTCTATTTCCAAACTCTAAATTTTTTTTTCCAAAACAATAAAATTAAAAAGTTTTGTTTTATTTTTGACAAAAAATTTCTATCATATTATATAGAAATTTAAAATGTACATATTTATGGTTTTTATGCAAGATCATTTGTAATTATCTAAATAATAGTTCATAACTATTTATATTTTTTTCTGAGTTAAGATTATTTTTGTCAAAAAAGTAGCAAAAATATTTTCAAATTTAGCATGGGCCATAATCCTAGTAAATAAATAAAATCCAACAAAATTGTTTAGAAAACTTTTCTTAGTTAACATTTTTATTTAAATTTTTAAAATATATGACTGTGTCAAATTTTGATTCGGTAACTAATTTGTGATTTATTATTTAAGGGATGAGGTATAACCGGATAGAAAATAGTTAAGGAAATAAAGTATATCCTAGCAAAAATTACCATTTGAAACTGAAAATCTTTTGTTCGTATAAATACTTTCCACATGTCATTATGGATTGAAAGCGAATCGAAAGATCTGTGTACACTTGCAAATCTAAAGCACATATGTTCATATTTGATTTTTATGAAACTAATTTATGTTAATTGTTGACTAACAATAAGGATTTCAAAATTTGAAAAAAAAAAGTTTGAACCAAATGACTTTTTAACTATATAAAAGCCAACCACTCTCTCACACCCAAGAATTATCCTCCCTTCTAAACATATATATATATACACTAGGTGATTTTGGCGCCATATGCAAAAAAATAATTTTAAATCATAATATTTTAGTTTAAAAATAGTTTACATTGTATTATTATTATTTCTATATTTTAGTTTTACAGATTTTTTAAAAATAAAATTTAAATCTTTTTTCTAAAAAATATTTCTTTTGATTTGGTTTAATTATTTCAATTTTATTCTATTTAAATTTCAATAGAGTTTAAATTATACTTTATAAAAAAAATTATTTATAATCTATTTAATGATTATTTACTTTAAGTATTTCTTTCATCCTTAATTTAAGTATTTATATACTTAAATATATCAATTCTAATAAGCTTTAGATTTTTTTAGTTAAACTACGTGAAAATGGTTAAAATAAAAAATTTGATTAATGTAATGGTGATATATAATTTATTAGTCATTAATATATTTCAAACATCTTACCAAAATAAATATTTATACATAATTTGTATTTAATCATGATAGTATAAAATTTATTAGCCAATACCATATTTAAAAAGTTTTTCTATAAAATATTAAATTTAATTAGCAAATTTTACATGTTACATTAATTTAATGTCATCATCTTTCTTTGAAATCCATGTCATCATTATTTGGTAAAAATGAATGTGATGATGAGATATGTTTAAACCTCTTGTCAAATAATGTATAACTAGGTTAAGACCCGCGCAGTTGCGCCGAATAAACGCCATATATATAAAAAAGAATAATACACTATTATTTATATGTGTTCATTTATTTATTATGTATATAGTCAAATTAGAGTAATCACATAAATCAAAATAATACATCTTGCTTATTTACGAAACTTTTTGGTAAATAAATCACAACAATCATTTTATTTATTAATTTGGTATATAACTCAATTTCAGTGACATGGACATAGATATATATTATATTTTAACATAAATATTTATTATTGACAATTTATACTCATATGATAAACACAAAATTTTTAATGTGCGGTTTTTTTCAATGCAAATTTCAAAATATAAATATTAAGGTTTCAATACTTTTTCAATAAAAATTTAGAAATTAACATATTTATTTATTTTGTATGTTATATAGTTTAATTTTAAACTATATTAATATATAATATGAATTTCCATTAAATGAGCATATTCAAACGATTTATGATCATTTGTATCTTGTTAAATTTGTATCTTTTTTTTCTTTTGAAACAAAATTTGTATCTTTTTTTTCTTTTGAAACAAAATTTGTATCTTTTGTATTTTCATTTTTAATAGAACAACAGAATAAGCAGTAATCAGGAATCTTCTCTAGCAAAGAATAAGAAAATAAAATAGTCGAGTCTCAGACACGAGGTCATGTTCTTAATTTGCATTCATGCCCTGATTTAGATGATTCAAATGTAAAATTTTCTGTGGGAGGTTGCTTAAGAAATTTGTTCATGAATTGGTTTTTTCTAAAAGCACCTGCAACAATAGATCCTTAGGGAAAATCTTTAGGGAAAAAGAAAAAATGGGCATTTCAGATTATATAAGGATATTTTGGATTTTTTCTTTAAAAAAAAAACTGACCAATCGCGGACCGCCACGTGGGCAGTGGAGTCCGCGAATAGTGTAAAGATCAATCCTTACATATTGATTTTATCCTTAAAATCCTTAACTGTTCATGGGACCCATTGATTAAAAAATTAATATTTCTCTAAGAATTCCCCTTAAGGATCTATTGATGCGGGTGCTCTAATTTTTTATTTGTAATGCTTTCTCAATGAATCGGTTTGGAGTTCGATAGCATTTTCTTCCTTTGCTCAATTTTGACTAAATTTATCCTCAATCATAAAATGATACAGTTTGGTATGAATAATAACTTTGTTCAGATTATTGGCTTAATTAAAATCATAACAATATAGCTGGAGATTTTTTTGGTTTTTCGGGTCAGCGAATAAAAAATTATATGTATATTAAATGAAAAACGCATACTATATATTTAACTAGACCTATAAATTTCATTCTAAAATTAACCTAGTAAAATGTTGGTTTATACATTGGTTTTATAGTTTCCTTTAGACAGATGACAAAAATGGAAACTCAATGATTTTATAGCCATATATAAATAAATCAATAGAAAATGTAACCGTTATTTTACATAAAATTAAATAAAAAATCCAAAATAAAAAATATTTAGATCAAAATTAATATTTAATTAATTTTATAACTCACACACATTACATATGTAATTTCAAATAATAAAAACACACAACAAACCATGAGTTTTTAACATTTTAAATTTGCAAAAAAACAATTAATAAAAATGGATTTAAATTTTAATACTAACTTTATTTCCAAAATATTTTCATATATACGCAAAAGATAGTATAACTAGAAAACTAGGGGTGGGATTAGATCAAATTATACACTAATTTTCAGTATTTTCGATTTGTTTCATATTTTATAGATATCTGATTTTCCGATTTGATTTACTTCGGAGAAATATGGATATCCGGCGTTCTGAATATACGAATTTTTTTTTAGATATTTACGAATATTTCCAGATATTTATGGATGTCTCATGCACTTTGTTTAATATATACAAGTAAATCTATAGGTTTATATAACTATTATGTTATCATATCATTTTATAAAGATATTAAATTAAAAAATCAATATTAAATCTAAATAAAATTATAATTTTCTAAGAAAATGGTTTCATTAAAAATTGATTAAATTTATAATTTCCTACAAAAATAATAAAAATTTGTTTTCCTATTTTTTAATCGAAAGGAAAATAAATTTGTTTTCCTTTGTTTTCCAAAACTATCGTTTACATAATATAAAAAAAAATTAAAAAAAAGTGAAATATCTTTTATAAATTTATAAATTTAATTAATTTTTTAATGAAACCATTTGCTTAGAAAATTATAATTTTATTTAGATTTAATATTCATTTCTTAATTTAATATCTTTATAAAATGATATGTTAACATAATAGTTATATAAACCTATATATTTAAAACTCTATATTCAATTATATAAAATGATAAGATACATCTATTTGTATAAAAGTCGAAGCCAATCGGATATTCGGTTCTAAATTTTTTAGTATTTATGATTTGCTTCGTGTTTTCCTTCGATGACCTACGGATATATGGATTTTTCGAATCGAAACGAATAATTAATCGAATCAAATTTAATGGATAAAATGCTCAATCTTAAAAAAAAAACTCTGGGTGTAGCCCGAGTAAAATCTTTAGTGAAAGTAAATATTAAAAAAAAAAAAAAATCGGACGCCTAGTAGATTTAATGGGAGTAATCGCTTCACTATAGTTGATCGTGGCGATCGAACTTGTGGGTGATACAGTACAGAATAGGCCAATACCTTCGTATTTATTAGCCTAAACCCATTACTAAGCTATGAAATCGAATATTACCAGGCCCAATTAAAATATGTGAAAACAATATATTTCTCAAGTCACTTTTTATCTTCCCAGATAAACCAAACCACACACACTTCGGGGGGAAATATCTGTGGAAACATCCCTAATTGCAAAGAGTTACGATTGTTCGACCAGACCAAATTTTTTTGAACAAAAGTGAAATCTGTGTTGTGTTTTCCTTTTAACGGAACTCTCTTCGACTTCCCTCTACTCATTCCCATCATCACTGCAACCTATCGACCACCGCCACAACTAAAAATAAAACCCTAATCCTCTCTCGTTCACCGAAATTTCGCAGTAAAAAAAAATGGTAACTTTCACACGAGATTTATAAGATTTCGCGTTAAAGTTTTGATCTTTCTTTTGTTTTGTTGTTGTCAGGCGAATGTTTGTCAGACTTGTGGGGACGAAGGTTTCGTAGAGGCACTGGTTCGTTGCGACTCTTGTAAATTTAGTGCTGTGCATCGGTGAGTATATATATATCCGTCCACCCCCTTTGGTTTTGTGTTTGGCTGTTTTGTTGATAAAGATTGTGTTTTTTTTGCAGCTATTGTTGTGGGATAATGCCGGTTCCTATTGATGGCTATGTTACTTGGTTCTGTTCCGACTGTGATGAGAGTGACACTGCCTCTGATTCCATACTAGTTGAGATTCAAGATACTGAGGTTTCTTCTTCACCACCAGTGGAGGAGCCTGAGACCACAAGAGAGATCCCTGGTTGCAGCAAATCTAACGGTTTAGTAGGAGTTGAAGCGTCTGTTTCGGAGGCTGGAGATGGATCATCTCTCTTGCTGATGACTGAGAAGAAAAAGAAGAGGAAGAAGAAGAAGAAAAGGAAGATTATTACTCACTCCCTGCCAGATGCCACCACCATTGTTGAGACCATGGAAGTGTCTAAGAAGCAAGATGGCTCAGAGAATGGAGAATCTGACGAATTGATGGAGAAGAGTGGAAAGAAAAAGAAGAAGAAGAAGACAGACAAGGGAGAAGAGAAGAAGAACCAAGAATGCAGCAATCACTCCTCGCCTGTTCTAGAGGCTGAGGTTCATGGGCTCCAGGCTACTACTAGTGTTGAACCTATGAAGGAGTCTAAGAAGCGAAAATGCTCAGAAAGCAAAGAATCTGAGGAATTGAATGTTCTGGTAGGAAGTGAAGGATCCGTGTTGGAAAAGAGTGCGAAAAAGAAGAAGAAAAACGAAGAGAGCAGCACTCATACCGTGCCTGTTGTGGATGCGGATGACCATGTGCTCCAGGATGTTAATAGTGTTGAAGCTACGAAGGATTCTACGATGACAGCGAATGTTTTAGCAGCAAATGAAGTATCCGTTTTGGAGAAGAGTGCCAAAAAGAAGAAGAAGAAGAAGAAAAAGAAGAGTAACGAAGAGAGCAGCACTCATACCTTGCCTGTTCTAGATGTGGAGCACCAAGAAGTTACGAATGATTCTACAATGCCATCGAATGTTTTAGTGGGAATTGAAGCATCCGTTTTGGAGAAAAATGCAAAAAAGAAGAAGAAGAAAAAGAAGAGTAACGAAGAAAGCAACAATCACACCTCGCCGGTTCTAAAGGCTGTGGACTGTGGTCATCTGGATACTACTAATGTTGAAGCTATGGAGGAGTCTAAGAAGCACAAAACATCTGATGAAATGATTGGTGAGAAAAGTGAGAAAAAGGAGAAGAAGAAGACGAACGAAGAGAGCAGCAATAACACTGCACCGGCTTTACCTGCTAAACACAATGTGGCCTATGATACAGACAATGTTGAACCGGCAAAGGCACAAGAAAGCTCAGCTAGCAGGAAACCTGATGAATTGGCTGGTTTAGAGGAAAATGAAGCATCCGTCTCTGAAGGTGGTAATTCAACTAATGTGCCAGATCATAATTCTTGTACCACCAGCAAAAAGACAAGTATAAGTTCCCGCAAGATACAGGTTACTAGTGAAATTATGAAGTTGGCTGCTAATAACAGTTCTTGCAAAGAAGCTGAATCAAATATGCCCGTGATGTCGGCATTGAATAATGATAGAGCGCAGCCAATCTGTGCACCAGTATGGAGGTAAAGTAAACACATTCCTCTCTATTTATAATCGTTATGCATCTTAGTATCATCACTTTAGTTCTGATCAGTTTTCTTTTTTTTTTGTTGTTAATATATAGAGGGTCGGTAACTGTAACACAAGGAAACAATTTTAGAATTCATGGACTTGTTGCTCATTTATCAACCTTGGCGTGCGAGAAAGTCCATGAAAAGGCAGGTTCATTACGCACTCGGCTATCTGCTCAAATGTTTCCTAGGTTGGAAATATGGCCACCGAGCTTTCTGCAAAACGGACCACCTTCAGATGAGAGTATCGCTCTTTATTTCTTCCCTTCCCCTGATAGGTATGTATACATACACACACTTGAACAATGTCTCGCTGACATTTAAACTTTGTTATCTCCCTATGCATATGTTAAGTGTCACCAACCTTTTTTTTGTTTTGTTTTTCCAGTAACGGTGAAGAGGTTTACTATTCTCTTGTTGATGAAATGAAGAAGAAAGATTTAGCGATGAGATGCTTGCTTGACGGTGTGGAACTTCTACTTTTCACCTCTTATCAGTTACCGCTACCTTGCTGGAGTAAGTTTTTCTTTTATCTATAACAAAACTTTCACTTCTACAAGTTGGTCATTTATTATCCTCTTGAAGTCGTTAAAGCTAAGAAAGCTGAGTTTTCGTGTGCAGAGTTTCGCTCAAAGGAGTACCTGTGGGGCATTTTCAGGCGCAGAAAGAATTCTCGACATTAGTCACTAGACTCTACTAGCTTTGACAGTTTCTGAATAGGACCAAGGTTTAACAGTTGCACACACACATCTGGTTTTGGTTGTCGAATTTTTAGTAGTTTGCCAGACATTCTGTATAAAATCTACACAAGATGGCATTGTCTTTTAAGAGTATTTGTGCAACCAATTCATAAAATTAGTGATAACTTTGAGGCCGTATGGATGTAACTAGTGTGGGAAAGAAAATGAGCATCAAAATTAGAGGTAAATTTTCATTAATAAGCAGGATATCAAAACACATTAGCTCACATCCTTTCTTAACATTACCGCCTCCCCACAAACGAAGACTTTTAAGATGGTTGATGCTGGTAATAGTTGATTTTGTTGACTTGTGAGTCTCATCAACTGAATATTGTAAAAGTTAATTATAAAAGGAACCATGATTAGGTGGACTTTTGAAAGTGATCAGCTTAATATTATAAAAGTCCCAATCCAAGTTTAAACAAGTCAAATATATTTTGATATATGCTTGTAACATCTGATAATATTCTCTGCAATTACTAAGAAGAGTAAGTTGTTTTTTTATCAACCGGACAACTATGAAAGAAATTTGATATGATAACATGTTTCAACTTAGCTACCAAAATTTGCATAAACAGTACAATGACAGTAGGGAAAGAAAGTTTTAGCCATGATCATAACTCTCGTACCAACAGACTGTTGTTTGTTGCTCAGAACTTGAAGTCAAAAACTCGAACACAATTATCATCCCCACAAGAAGTTAACCTCAGTAAACTCTGGTTACTCTCGGATTTCTCAGTTGGTTTCCATGCTAACCGGTTCACGGCCGAGACATGACACATAAACGGTTCAAGCCTCAGAGCAAGAGCTGCTGTTGCTGTTGTACCTTCCTCTGTTTCTTTAACACTTATGTTCCACAGCTCAATCAGTCCACTCTCCATCCCAACCGCTATGCACCCGCTCTTCTCCTTCTGGTCTAATCCCGTCCAAGCCACGGCAGTGACACTGCTCCCAAACTGAGGCAAGGCAAGAACCTGTTTGACGTGAGAGTCTTTCTCAATGGACCAGATCTTCACAGTCTTGTCTCTTGATGAAGTTGCGAATTGGTGGCCATATGGGTTCCACGAACATGCCCAGATGATCCTCTTGTGTGCTTCAACCTTTGCCATAAGTTTGTGACTAACCTCGCCATTGTCTGAACAGAGATGATCAAGGAAGAAAAAATAGATAGACTTAGATGACTATACTGACACTCAAGACTAAACGCTTCTAAGTTCAAGGTTTTACCAGTTCTTTGGATAGAGAACACTGAGAAGTGACGATCTCTGGATACGGACAAGAGCAGAGTGTCATCATAAGAGAACTCCAAGTGTGTCACTGTCAAGCTGTGTGATTGCAAACGACCAACAGCTTTCCATGTTCCAACCTCCCATAGCCATATTTCCGCCATGGCTGCAGATTGAGCCTGAACAAGTTTATGGTTCATGCTCGGTCAAATAAGTACAGAGGAGATGGAGCAAGTGCAAACAAATCTGAAATCCGCATTAGCTTACCTTACACGATGAAGCAACAAGGCTTCCGTTGTGGTCACAGCAGAGAGAAAAGAGTTCATTACCATGACCATATAGTTTATGAGATTCAGGCCATAAAGTATGAAACGCAAGCTGATCTTCTATTGGAGGCTCCTTCAACTCCACCGGAGCAGCCTCCGGAACCGTTTCAAATGTATCCAAGCCTTCTCCTCCGCCATTTCTCTCTAACGGTTCACTAGAAGCTGCATAAAAAAAACATACGATGGAATCTCAAGACTGCATTTGGTTAAAAACTAGATATGAAGTTGAATCAATCACTCACAGTGTAAGTAGATAGGTTTCTGTGATAAACCAAGAGCAGACATGTTCGCGCCAAGGACCTGCACATCTGATTGTAAATCCTCAGGGAAGCTTCCTTCTCCTCCAGCACAAGTGTGGTTCAGTGTCTTCAAGAAAGATAGAGGAGCCTCAAAAACTCTCACAACTTTCTCCTCTGCTCCACTTACAAAACGGTGGTTGCCTTTACCCTGAACCATAGCCACACAATTGATGTCATGACCATGAACCTGAGGACGAGCCAGTTCATGCCAATGTTCATCCTCCTCATCACTCTTCCATGAGGAGAACACACGGGTGGTCTGCAATACAACGAGTGCCAACAAAGTTAACTTTTGATATATTTGATATAATGAATCGTTTTAACATCTCTCAACCCTAGATCCGGACCTGGTCGTGGCTCACGGATAGCAAGTACTCGCCAGTTCTAGCCCACGTGATGTCAGTCACAGCAGCAAAATGACCCGAGGGGACTTTCTGCATCTGCCAGTTCTCAGACTCTTTGCTACCACTAACATTTCTCCAAAGATGGAAAGATCCACCATATCCATGAGCCAGGATGGACCCACCATCTGGACTCCAGTGGCCACCGTAGAAGCCAAGAGCACAGTGACTAAGCTCTCCAACACACACAACATTCACCCACACACCCGTTTTCTTCTCAGGTCGCCAAATCATCATAGTCTTGTCCATTGAAGCCGATAAAATGCTCAACGGTTGGTGGTTCACTGGAGGTTGCCACTCCACGGAATAGACCCAATCTTCATGTCCAATAAGAACAGATTCGACTGAAACCTGATATGTGAACCTCCCTGAGTCAAAAACCGGACCTTCAATGTAAGAAGCCAAAGTGATTTCTCTTTGCCATGAGCCAACATCACCTACTAACACAAGCTTCCAGATTCGAATGACTTTGTCCTGCGAAGAACTCACAAGCATAATACTATTGGTGGTTTCTTCTGTTGAGTGTAACGGTAATGAAAAGTCCAAACTCCGGATCCAGTCCGTGTGGCCTTTAAGCACACAAACAGAAGTGAACTTTCCCGTTCTTTCTCCACAATACAGTTTGATTTTGTTGTCTAATCCACCCATGGCCAGGATGAATCTTCCAGGATTCTGAGGCAGTTCCGCTAATGAAAGCGTTACAATTGCTTTGGAGTCAGCAGAGATAGAGTCCAAGCACGAAACTTTGCATTCCTCTGCAAGAGATAGCATATTGTGAATATCAAATACTTCTTTAAAAGACATAGACTTTGTTTAACTTTAATGCGTACCACTAGACTGCGAGGGAAAAGAAACATCCCAGACATTCACAACTCCGTCCGAAGAACCAGAAGCAAACATTGCATCGGTTTCAGAACACATAAACGCGGTGATGCAAGTTACACCTTTCTTATGAGACTGTGGAAGTTGTAGGACATGTCTCCACTGTCGTTTAAACCGTTAAAAAAAAAAGGGTTCAGAGGTAATAAAGAAACCATAGGGAATCTCGGTTGAGAGATTGAAGGAACTTTACATTGTTACTGTGGGTCAGTAATTCCCAAAGGATGATAACACCATCTGAATCACCTGAGAGTAGATAATGCCGGTCCAAATGCTTGGCTGCGAACAATCATATCATTTCAAGGGATTAATTGATCACTGAATAATTTCCTCCAACAATCTATAGTTAAATGCTCCATAAAAGTTTGATCTTTCAAAGCAACTAAAGCACCAAACCGGTAAATAGAGACTATAAATAGAAATCCGAATGTCTATACACATCACATTTTACTAAACAAGTGTCTAATAGTGATAGAGCTATAAACGAATCCTACAGTCTAATTTCTCTATATGATAAAAAGAGCAAACTTAGTTTTAATAGATTAGTCATGAATAGAAAAATGAATATAACTTCACATTTTACTAAAGAACTGTCTAATAATGATAGCTATAACTCATGAATCCTACAGTCTTAGGTCTAAATAATAAGTCATGTAAGAACAAATTAAAGCCTCCAACATCAAAAGTACCTTCCTTTGCAATGCCCACAGACTAAAAGAAGAAGAAAGTACCTTTGAAAGCAAACTTGGAACTGGGTAACCAGTGAGTGCAATTAACAGAAGCTTTGTGACCTGGGAGCGTTGTAAGAATCTGGGCTGTCTGAAAAGAAAAGAAAAAATAAAGAGAAAAAAAAATGTCAAATCTTTCTTTTTGAAAGAACAAAAGGATTCTTGAAAGAGAGAGAGACCTTAGGGCAGAAAATAGCGACAGCGTTTTGAGCACCGAAGGAAACAAGACCAGAAGCTCCCCAAGAGACGTTGTTGACGACTCTGTTGCAACCTGCTCCTATGAACACTCTCTTAGCTTCCACTTCGGTGTTTCCCGACATCTTTAACTTTTGATTTGAAGATTACGAAGTTGCTTTTCCGTTTCTGGTACTTGTTCAAGTAATATATTGCCGGCGGCGGAAAATCTCGCCGGGAATTGTACAACTGAAAATTTCAGGGGAAAGCGGAGACTAACAAGGGTTCTTATTTCCTTTGAGTTAAGAGAGTCAACATTTTGGTGGGTTTTAATGTTGGGCCCAAAGTTTTTTTTATCAACAGGGCCCAAAGTTTATATGTTCTGACAGAGTGATTAGATTGTTAGAGGCAATTGGTGAGATGGCAATAGAGAGGTAAATCCAAATGTGTTTCAGAAAAAAAAAAAAAGTTTTCAAAGTATAAGAATGTGGTGGAAACCATCAAAAGTATAAAAATGTGTCAAGTGGTTGTTAAAAGTTTTCAAAAACTGTCGCAATTAGAGCGGTTAGAGGGAGATTGTGAGAGCGATCGTTTTCACCATTTTTTTCTTCTTCAATTCACACCATCTACCATATTCTTTTTCTCTTTAATCATCCTTGTTTTTCATGGCTTCCACAACTCATTAACTCTTTTCTATATTTTAGAAAATCCACAAAAGAATTTGTTTCATACAATTCCATTTACACCGAATGTTCATTACGGTGATTCTTTTTGTGTATTGCATATACATACACTCTACGTAATGACATATGGGGTTCCTTTTTCAAAATAATTCCCATGTGTTTTGTTCATTCACAACAAATTGGGTGTTAATCATTTCTTCTCTCATTTTGTTGTTGCGATCTCCGGCATGGTTTTCATGGTTATGACCGATGACAAGTTGAATTCAGATTTAAGTGGTAAGGAACTTATTCTTACTGCTTTACTTTGGAAACAATTGCCATGGAAACCACCATGGAAGGAGTATATTGGAAAAAAAGAATTGAAATTTTCTTTGTTGTATGGCGATGTTCTTAGAATCGTTGAAGATTGGTCATTCCAACTTTTATTTCTTTCGATAGAATCAATATATTGGATTCAGTATCG